AGCATGGCTTGACAAGTGGCGCATTGATGCACGCCCAGGATCCGAACTGGCGAAGCCCGGGCCGCCGCAGCGAAGTGCGCACACTTAACCGCTTGCACCACAGGGCCAGCCCCATTAATAATTTATTTATAAATGTTCACCTAACAAAAGCATTTATAATGGTTGTTGATTGCGCTAAACTTCACGACAAAAGTTAGATATTTTCCCTGCTGCTGTGAATTTTTTTCTAGAAGGCCAACAGTAAACAAAATAAAGGCAGATACCAGGGCAGGCAAGATGAGCTTCACGGGTGCAGGCAAGGAGGCGGAGTAACGGCGAGACTTCCTCACAGCAAACTTCTCAGTAGGGATCGACTTCCCCGCAATCCTCTGCTTCAGGCTCTCCACCTGTCTGTGAAGAGCCCAGCCCCAGTGAAAGCTCATTAGCACACAGATACTATTCACACCTGTGGTTTTCTCGCTGCACTCCCCAGACCAGGAGCAGTAGCAGCACCCAGAACCCTGTTCCAAACGCAGATATTTAGGCTCCACTCCAGACCCACTGAAGCAGCAACTCCAGGGCTGGGGCCAGCAATCTAGAGTTTAATGAGTCTCCAGGTGATTCTGATGCATGTTCAAGTTTGAGAACCAATGACTGACACATATTTCTTTCCAGTCAAGTAGGCTAATGTCTTAATCTATACAGTCCAGGAAATCTAGATATAAAATTGGCAATTTTTTCCATAAGTAAGCAGGCAAGAGTCCAAAGTATTTACTTACATTGAGGATACTCAGAGAGGCGGAAGAGGGTATACTGGTACATTTCCTATTCCTAGCTCTAAGTAAGACACAGATCTATAAAATAATATGGCTTAAAAGACAGCCATCAATTAATGTATAATTTGAGAGGATGTTTCCCAAGCATAGGTGATTTTGAAAATAATCAGCTAAGGACATGCTGTGGCCTTATGTAAATGTGCATGTAAACATCCATGTTTAGAAACTTCCTCTCAAAATTCTAAGGAAGTCTATGGAATTTTATATATATATATATATATGGAATTATTATAATTCTAAGGAAGTTATGAAATTCACAAGCACATAAAAATGAGAGTAGGACAGGGAGACTACACGTTCCTGGAGCACTTTCTGATACATAATTTTAACATATATAAAATTTCTTATATCAACTTTGTAAATGCAAACAGGGTGCCAGAAAGAACTCATGGAAATATCCAATTACATCACTGAAAGAGAGAATGAGAGGAAATAAGAGAAAAAGCAATCTAATATGAGGACAAATTTGTGTTAGGTTATTTCTGGGCACAATTTGGGGATATGGATTTTAAACCGAAACACCCATCATTTGGTGTTCATTAACATCAGTGGAAGACGCAGGGGGAATGTGAGGTCGGGAGAAGCAGTCAATCAGAAGCATGCACTGGACCCGAAATCTCATGGTTTAAAGATCACAGAGTCTGTGTGAAGAAAACCTTCATTTTGGGGGCTCTCCTCTCATTATCCCAACAAATTAGATGCTACTATATAGCAGACCTCAAGCTTTCTCCTGAAAATAAGATTAGTTAGATGTTTCACAGAAATTCTTTTCATATGGAGAAAATTTATTCTGAAGTGGAAGAAATACAAGGAGACTTAAAAGATTTTAGTGTATCTTAATATTCCATTCCATTCCATTCATTGTTTGTGTGAAATGGGAAATGCATTTTACCAGTAAGAGGTGGCAGTATCACACCATGGCTTCTACTGATGTTGATTCTACAGTTAGTGACATGGTCCAATTTTTAAAAAGAGCTTTTAAAAAGGAGATGAAAAAATGGTCCTGGTCATACCTTCAAATTTGTTCTGACAAGTCTGAGGGTTGAGCTATTAGTTCGCATAATGTAGTGACAGAATATAGTATTCCACGTAAAAGGTTTTGTCATCAATTGTGTTTGAAGAATGCAGTGGGGCCTCTCTGTTCCTTAACTTCCTCATCTCCAGCGGTCGTCTCCTCCTTTCTCCCACAGCCACTGCCCCTACAGTCATAACTTAGCCCACTTCATCACTGTAACTTTTCCACCTCAAAGCACAAATTCAAGCACACCACCCTTTGACACCATTCTCCTCATTCTAACTTGGCTGTTCTAGTAAGACTTTCAGTCCACTTGTTCTTTAACTTTCTCCCAATCTAGCAGTCTCCTTTCTTTCTCCTCGTCCCTCCATATTCCTACTTATATTGCCCTGCCCTTTACTTCTGCACACTCTGGCCCACGTCCTAAACTCCCTTGTCCACCGCCTCGTCATGGTGCTCATCGGGATGAGGCTCAGTATCCATCTTCCCTGCACCTGCACTGAGAGCAGATTGGTATCACTATAAATTCATTAGCACCAACCACCAATGGGCCCTCACGCTGCCTGCCATTCCCCCGACTATGTTTCTCTCACCACCTCACTGTCCCACTCTGCAACAGTGAGTTCAAACATTCTGCATCCTCCTCAGACCTCCAGCCCACTCCCTTCTCTTTCACTCTCTACAGATGACCCTGCCTCCTACTTCATAAAGCAGAAGCTCTAAGGCAGGAAGTCCTTCATCTCATACTACCACACACAAGCTGCCTACCTCTGCACCTATTCTGTACATCTTCCCTTTCAATACCACAGAGGACCTGGTCTGCCTTCTAGATAAAGCCAATCCTGCCATCACTGCTTTGGATTCTATCTTCTCTTGCCTTCTCAGGAACCTTACAAATATCCATTATCCCATTTCTTGCTTGTATGTGCAACTTCTCTTCCTCAACTGGATCCTTCCCAGTAATTTCTGAGAATGCTCAGCTCTCTCTCATTAAAATATTCTTTGACAATATATCTCCCTCCAACTGTCTCTCTCTCTCTCCCTCTTTCCCTTTCCTTCCACAGTCAAAGTTCCAGGGAGGTATTTATGCTCAACTCTCTTCATTTCTTTGTATCTCATTCACCCTTCAGGTAACTCCAGTCTGGTTTCCACCTCCATTCTGTTACCTTATCAGCTCCTACTAGGGTGATCAATGATCTCTGTGGCACTAAATACACACTTTGTCTCATTTATAAATGGAATACTGTGTTCTGCGGGACGCATTTTGAGTCATCCTTGACCTTTCTTTTCCTTTGACCTATACATGAAGTGTAGCATCACGTCCTGTCAAATGCCGGCTTTCTCTTAGTTCTTTAAATGTACAAAGCTCCTTCGCACAACAGGGTCCTCTCACATGCTGTTCCCTTGGTCTGAGACTGCATCACCATGCTCTCCACGGCCTCAGCAGCTCCTATTCCACCTTCAGACCTCAGCTCATCCATCATGCCCTCTATGCACTTATATACACCTCTCCTCCCACTGGGGAATGGGGGGGGCAGTGAGTAGTGTTGGTGATGCCAATATTGGTTTTTGGCTTGCTAACTGGTGGTCCCAATCACTGAGAGAAGGAAGAACACCAGGTTTGCTAGGGAAGACTGGACTTGGTGAGTTTTAAATGCTTTGACATATTCAAGTGAAAGTGGCAAGTGGGAGCTGGATTTATGGGTCTGGAGCTCAGTCATGAGGTCTGAACTAGGGATTAAAATTTAGCTTGGTTGAGATTTCCTAAGGCTGAGGCTCTAAGACTGACCTTTGAAATAAAAACCATCAACATTTAACACCTGGATAAACTACGATGAGCTTATAAAGATGCTAAGAAGGAATGGTGAGAGAAGTAGGAGGAGAAAAATCAGTCATGTATTGTAATTTTGCATTTATTTGTGTGATTACTTCATTGATGTCTGGTTCCACTACCAGATTATAAATTCCACAGGGACAGGAGCCACGTCTGTTTATTCAGCATCTAACACAGCACTCTTCATACATTAGATGCTCAACAAAAAGGTTACGGATGGATGGATGGACGGCTGGATACTGGTCTAAACAAAGTTAAACAGATTACTTCACAGCAGAGCTTCTCAGAATCTCTGACACACTAATGAAAACTAAGGGTATGTCATACAGTGTTTCTTAAATTTATCTGACCAGAGAATACCTTTGATTCACAACAATAGTTAATGTCTTTTGCTAACAACACCATTTTAGAAAACTGTGTCCAAAATGCAGTAGCAGAGCCCCAATAACAAAACAAAAAATAATGGGACTCAAGATTCCCAATTACACTGGCATATCTGCAAAATCCTGTTAAAAGGATGGTATTTTGACTCTTAGCAAAATATATTTTTTAAGGGCACCTGTATCAAATGAGTAGAAATTAAAGAAATATGAAGGTAAAGCATGGGAGAGCACTAAGGGAAAAAGAAAGAAGATGTATTTGTGTGCTCCTCTATACATTCAGGATCTCTGTTATAGAAATAGTGTCTTGCTCACCTGAATAAAGTGACTACATTCTCTTTAGTTGCTACCACATCCTCCTCCGGAAGCATACTCAAAATTGCAGCTTTCAAGAACACATAAGTTGCCTTGAGGAAAAGAAGAAAAGCAGCTGGTTATAGAACATCCCTAGGTACATGACATTTCTACCTTACAAATCAGGAATGACCTACAGATCTTCCAGATATAATACTTAAGAGGCATCAAAGAAATAAAAGGAAATAAAGTCTCATATTGCTTACTCCAAAGGAGAATAACACTTTTCATTTAATTTTGATCATTTTCCTATTATACAACTACAGCATTCATGGGTAAGAAAGTGGACAGAATGAACAAGAGATCATTATCTCATTTCTCCCAACTTCCCACAAATGGATCAGAATTAATTTTGATTATTATGAAAAGCCTTGTCATCAGGGCACCAGAAAGCCTACAAAAAAATTATCAAGACTATTGATATTTAATAACTTTTAAATATAAGCGCAGTTCATCCTCAGAGGCAAAGCCTCTTTGTTGAAAAGGACTCTTTGGATGCCTCTTAAAGCATGTAGTGCTGAGGACAGTGCTTATACACAGTAGGTACTTAGTGCACAGTTCCTCCTTTGACAGATCCCTAAGTTGAGAAAACAGTGTCAATGTGATACTACTGAACAAACAGTCCTAAATGAAAACCATCCTGGACACTTATTAGCAAACAGTTGACATCAATGAAAGCACTGCACTTTACCTTGGACCATTTACTCTCTTTGCAAAGCAGATCTGAATAGTAATATGCCTCCATCCAGTTTTGTTGGAATACATGAATCCACATCAGCTCCCAGTAACAGAGATGGTGAAACTGTTTCCATTCTTCTTGAACTGAAATGCATTTTCGAAATAGCTCTTGTGCCTATAAGTCAATTGCATAAAGCTGATCATCCAGATATTAGACAAGGAGATAATAACCTAATGGAAAAATACATAAAATACTTTGTACAAAAAGAATACAATCAGCACTCATTAAACCACTCAATGCAACAATATGTTCCTTTCCTTACATGCAATGATACAGTTAAGTTCTGTCTCTTTATTTAACTTTGTGACAGGGCTGCGGAACTTTATAATGTGAGAATAGGGAAGTTACTTCCCAATTAAGATAAAAAACACAGAAGTCCTTTAAGAAAAGACTGACAATAAAAGTGAGAACTTCCAGACGGTAAAATATACCTTAAACAAAGTTAAAGGCAATGGACAGACTTGGAGAAGATAACACTACATACACAATTGGCAAAGAATTAACCCTTATCATACAACAATTCATAAAATCCTTAAGAAAAAGACAAACAACTCAGTGGGAAAACTGTCAAAGATATAAACAGGCAAATCAGAGAAAAAGATGTACAAGTGACAAATATACATATGAAGAAATTTGTAAACTAGATAATATAAATTTAAAAATTAGATTATCATTTTTTGGTCAGCACACTGGCAAAAACAAAACAGACAGATAATGTCCAGAGTTGACAAATAGCATTGGAAACAAGTATCTTCATATCTTTACAGGAGTTTAAAGGGAATAACCTTAAGTTAGGAGGACAATTTGGCTGAATTTATCAAAACGCAAACATCTTTGACCTAGAAATCCTAATTATCAGAATCTGTGATATAAATACACCTGTGCCCAGAAATATATACATAATGATGTTTACAACAGCATTGTTTATAGCAGCCAAATGTCCATCAACCATGGACCACTTTAATAAGTATAGTATAATCCATCCCATGGAATGAAACCCACCTATCAAAAAGAATGCGGGAGATTTAGATATACTGACCTGGAAAGAAATCCAAGATGTATTGTAAGTAGAAAAAAAAACAAATCAAATAAAAATACACATGCTTGACCCCACTTGTGTAAAACAAAATTGTTTGTAATTATATTTATATGAAAAGCTCTTCACTCTTCTTCAAGGAATTGAGTGAATAATTTCCTTTGATGAAGAGTGCACATGTAATACAGTGGAATTGTATCTTATGCAGGGGCTAGATTATAAAGTCAATATGTAATACTGAAATTGATAACGGTCAAAGTTTTTTGAAAAAATCTCTTAAATTGCCCACCTGCATTTTGTATATTCTACCCAAATGGCCTCATGCACATTATGTGTAAATAAATGTAGACTATATTCAGTAATCTACTACATATAATAGAATGCATACACAAAATTAAACTTTGGCTTTTTAATTACATATTTTTTTCTTTATTTCTGTCTAGTGCATATAGCTGAATTTACTTATGTTGAATGAGTGTGTGATACAACTCCACCGTACGGACAACTCCCCAAATGACGGCCCCCAAATGAATTACCTCTTCCACATGCCCTTTCAGCAGCTCTATCCGGGCATGATAAAACAGCATGAGTGAGCCCTGTGGAGAAAGGAAGACAGCAGACTGTTCAATGGTCAACGCTGGTTGATTGGTTATGGTTGAAACAGACACGTGAAATTCTAAGCATACATTTGGAAACTGCTGGAGGAAGGGTGCAAGAAGACTCTCTGCTTCCACAATATTCACTTCTCCTGTACCTAGAAATTTAACGGGAAAAGCCTCAGTCTTCATGAAACATGGTAGATATCTATAACTAATTCTCCAAACTTCATTAAAATATAGCAAAGACCTATTCACAGAAAGATGAAAACTGTTCATTTGCCATTTTTAAATTTGAGAAATAAAATAAGACAAGACTCATCTATGACTTTAACTTAAGAAAGCTCTTGAAGAGACTAATTCTTATGAACAGAAGTGGTTGTCTTATTTCTGGTTTTCACAGCAATATTAATTTATCTTAACAAAAAATTTAATTTTCTACTAAAAAAGGAAATCTAATATGAATATGCTAAAATAGATCACCTTAAAACAAGGTTTATAGAATTTTTTTTTACCTGAGAACAGATAAAAAATATTCAACGAGGGGCCGGCCCAGTGGCGCAAGCGGTTAAGTGCGTGCGCTCCGCTGAGGCAGTCCAGGGTTCGCCGGTTCGGATCCCGGGCGCGCACCAATGCACTGCTTGGCAAGCCATGCTGTGGCAGCATCCCATATAAAGTGGAGGAAGATGAGCATGGATGTTAGCCCAGGGCCAGTCTTCCTCAGCAAAAAAAAGAGGAGGATTGGCAGATGTTAGCACAGGGCTGATCTTCCTCACAAAAAAACAAAACAAAACAAAACAAAACAAAAAAATATTCAATGAAAGAAACTCTCCACCCCCCCGGCCAAATAATGCTCTGACAAATGTCACTATTTTCCATCTTTACTCAAAAAAAAAAAGTAAACAGATATAGACTACTAGGTCTTACTGATTTTTCTAGATTTTTACTTACTCAGATGAAAAGTAATCAACTTTCAATGATGTAAAATATAATCAGTCCTTACCAAGTATCAGGGAGATATAAGTATGAAAAGCTAGTATAGTTAAGCAGCATAGTGAAGACCTCATGCTTCTTCCGGATGCACCTTCGCGTAACTGCAGGAGGCCCAGTTCCTGTGGGGATTAAATGCATTTTAGAATGAGAAGGGCATGATTGAAATTCAGATACTTCAAAATGCTGGTTCGTGTATCTGCACCCTCCATGACGGTGGGGTTTATTTGTCAAGAGCTTAGAATAGTGGTAATGCCTAACTAGAAACAAACTTTACATTTTAAACTGGCATAAGACAATCTCACAAATTCTTTTATATCATGTGATTCTAGGGAGAGAGAAAGGCAGTGCTCATTTCACTGAAACGCTGTATTTCTCTGAAAAAATACTAATTTATTAAAACATATTGAGGATCTAAGTGCAAGGCACTATGGTGGGTGTGACCAGATATGGTTCTATGTCTTCAAAGATCTTCCTATCAAACAGGGAAGACAGACACAGGATTTTATTAGAATATAGTGAGTGCTGTACAAAAGATAAATAAATGATTCTGAGAGTTAGGAATACTTGAGCCTCACTGGGAGAGGATAAGGGAAAGCTTTGTGGAATTGATGACATTTACCTCAAACCTAATGGATGGAGAGCTTGTCAAGAGAACGCTATTTGCGAGGATGCTAGTTGAGGAGGCCACCCAAAGGAAAGATTAGCAGAAGCAGGGAAACAGAGAACAGAGCCTGTTTTGGGAACAACAAATTGCCCAGTTTAGCAGGAGTACTAGGGAAGCAAGGAGTAAGGTTGTAAACTGGCTAGAATAGGGTCATGGGGCCCTTGAACCATGTTATGGTTTGGACTTTATTCGGGAGGCAATTTGGAGCCACTGAAGGAATAAGGTGGAAGATGAATGGTCAAGGGGAAGGGTAAGCAGGAAATACAGAGTCTGAAGAGATATCATGAAGGGACCACTATAAATACACAAAAGCTTATGAAGAACTTGGATAGTGAAATAAATGGGAAGAAAATTACAGCTTCTTGTATGTGTTCGCATACATTTCCCAAAACCTGCTCTCTTGACTAACAGACATAACTTCTGCAATAAGGCAACCCTAGTAATAGCACATTGAGTGTTATGATTAACAAAAATTATACCCTACAAAAACAACTGCACGGAAATATAATGAATAAAACTTACAGAAAACAAATTTCCTCACTTAGTTTTACAATGAAACTTGTAAAAACACAAGGAAACCCAAAATACTGCAACTATGTTTGATGCATGTGAATCATAAAATGTAAGACATGGAAATTTGTTCTAATTTCCCAGTTTCACAGAAGACAACTCTGGGGTCACTAAAATGTTAAGGCAGCATATTTTAACCATGCAAGAGTACTAAAGTTCCAGCAAGCAGCAATATTAGTAAAACATAATTTTTAATTCCAGAACTTAGGTAACAAAGATGAAAAACTTTAACTTTCAATAGAAAAACCATCTCTAACTCCTAAAAAATATGACCAAGGACCAATGGCTCTTTATTGTCCTACAAATAAATTGCCAATAATTGTCATGCTGGTTATGAGGACATGTCGTACTGCCCTCATATTCAACAAATAATGTTTTATCTTCCCTGCCAAAATTAAAATAAAATTAAATTTGTACCCTGTTTCCAGAAAATCCTATGAATTCTAATAATCTGATAATCCTTGCTGGTAAAAGGGACAGCATCTGTAAAAAAAAAAAAAAATACAAGTATACTTATGTGTTACTATATCCAACTGTAGATAAATGTTAAACTCCAAACTACTTCAAGTTTCAATGATTCAGTAATATAAAAAATTAGAACCAAGTTTAAACCACTAGACATGTCTCAGTCATCACACACTTGCACATACTGTAATCATTACTTGTCAATTAACTTCATTTAGCTAAGACATTGAATCTAAAAAAATTTTTTTAAAAACCCAGCCTTTTCAGAATGCTCTAAAGAACACCTGCTCCTTTTATGTGGACTGATGAAGTGATAAGAAGGCAATCCCTCAGTGTCCACCCTCTTTTAGCGTCCTTTTCTGGAATGCGCAAGTCTGTCGTGTTCTACATGATAGGCAGGCACCAAGTAGAAGTGAACAGCTGCACTACAGCCCCTTTCTGGGACATCCCTGAAGAACAGTGGTGAAGGGAAATCCTCCCAGTGCAGAACTTCACGCAGCGCACCTGTTTGTTCACTTTGCTTGGAAGGAGAGATGGCCACGTGTGCGATTACATGCTCATTCATGGGCTGTAGGCAACGGTTTGGTTGCATGTTCAGGGATTTGGAAAGAACATGATTGGAAAATTCAGGACAAGTAGTTCTTGGGAAGAAGTATGTGAATAGACCTGTCTGAACGAGTGAAAAACGTGAAGATATTTGTGTCCCATGTGAATGTTCATTGCGGACCTCAGCACAGGAGGATTTTAATAATTAAATGGATAGGATGACCTGGTCTGCGGATACTGGTTAGCCCCTTTCCCCCGCCACCCCACCATCATGAACAAAGTGGCCATGGTGGTATATACACTCGTGCGTAGGATTCCCTTTACTACTTTATTTTCTCACCGATTCCAGTCAAACTTTAATAAAATTTCAAAATCTCTAAATAACATATTGCAACTTGACAGGTATCTACTCAAACTCTTCATCTCCTCCAGAGCATCAAAATCATTCCTTAAGTTATATCTCCCCTCACCTATTTTCAATTCCAGAGCCACTATGCGATAGCAACAATATTTCTGGTGTGGAAATGGAACTGTATTCCAAGCTCTTTATTACCAAAAATGTCACTAGTCCATTCAGAGTGCTACATGATTCCCTTATTGTACAATCCAAAACCACTCTGAGCATGTGCAGAACTTTACAACACATCCTGCAAAGTCCCCACTGGGTCACAACACAGGAAAACTGATCCCACTCTAGCCACTTGTCAACCAAGCCCAGGGAGAGGTTCAAATGCAGTAGAGAAGGCACTGAAAACCTTAGGTACTTTTATAAAAGGTTCTGGTTGCTTTATAATGATCTACTTACCAAATTAAAGGCCCCTATTCCAAGCTTGACACCTCCTTCAAACTCATAGAAGAACTGCTGTTCAACCTTGTTCTTCTGAATTACATGCAAGATAGAAAGACATTCTCTAGATCGAAGAAAACAGTTATAGCATAAGTTTACTGTGACTCTGGAAATTAATGTTAAATCAAGCTTCACACTTATACACTATAAAATAAATGTCATTAGCCAAAATACTAAAGAATTTTTGAAGGATGATGCTGTTCTGAGTTTACTCTTAAGGCTACTGGGTAATAATGATTAAAGAAAAATGACACCCATTTTGACACTGTTTATCAGGACCAATGCTGCTGGGCTTAAAGCAAGAGAGGGTTCAAACATCAGCAAGCATGACTCCAGAGCTATAGGACCACAGGACTGCGATCTCACAGCTTCCCAGCATCATGTTACAGGAGACTCCCCAGGAGAACTGAGATCCTCAGCTGCTGTGCAACTTCAGCAACCCTGCCTTCCACCCAGACACTGAGATGCTTCTGACAAAAAGATCTGAATTTCACTGTGATCGCCATGGTCTCAAATAAATCAATAAATTAGAGCTTGTGACTAGGAAAGACTCAGAGAGCAAAGCAAATTCCATCACAACTGCCCCACTTGTCCTCTTGCTTTTTCCTGATCCATCCAAGTAAATCTTTCTGATTTCTCACTTTAATTTCTTTTTTTGTTGTTGTTGAGGAAATTAGCCCTGAGCTAACATCTGTGCCAATCTTCCTCCACTTTATATACAGGTCACCGCCAGAGCATGGCTGCTGAGTGGTGTAGGTCCACGCCCAGGATCCAAACCCACGAACCTGCGCCGCCAAAGCAGAGCACACCGAACTTGACTGCTATGCCACGAGCCAGTCCCTCACTTTATTTTATTTTTTTTATTTTTCTTATTTTTTTAAATTTTATTTATTTATTTCCCCCAAAGCCCCAGTAGATAGTTGTATGTCATAGCTGCACATCCTTCTAGTTGCTGTATATGGGATGCGGCCTCAGCATGGCGGGAGAAGCGGTGCGTCGGTGCGCGCCCGGGATCCGAACCCTGACCTCCAGCATCGGAGCGTGTGCACTTAACCGCTAAGCCACGGGGTCGGCCCCAGTCCCTCACTTTAATTTCTTTTCTACACATTTTCTATACATTTCTCCCTTTTCCTTTACATCTTCAAAAGGCAAATGCAAATGCAAGTTAAAACAACAGCAAAGGTATAAAAATTGGTAATAACCAGGAATTGCTTATCAAACTGACAAACGTACGTGTTTTTTTTTTGGTGAGGAAGATTGGCCCTGGGCTAACATCTGTGCCAATCTTCGTCTATTTTGTATGTGGGATGCCACCACAGCATGGCTTGTATGAGCGGTGTGTGGGTCTGTGCTCAGGATCTGAACCCACAAACTCCAGGCTGCCAAAGCAGAGTGCGTGAACCTAACCACTACACCACCAGGCCAGCCCTGACAAACATACTTTTTAAAAGGTAATAAATAACTAGATATCACATATCATCCAGTGTGATGCAATTATGAAGCACGCAACTTCATTTATGAGGTATATTCTAGTCAAATACATTTAACCTGAATCTTAGTAAGCCTGTATACCTAACTTCGAGTTTACAAGAAATATAAGGGCTGGAGGAATGCTACAGACTGAACTATGTCCTCCTCAAATTCCTATGTTGAAGCTCTAAGCCCCACTGTGACTATATTCAGAGGTGGGATTTTAGGAGGTAATTAAGGTTAAATGAGGTCATAAGGGTGGGAACCTACTCCCATAAGATTGGTGGGCTTATCAGAAGAGGAAGAAAGAGAAATAACTCTCTCTGCCACGTGAGGACACAGCAAGAAGGCTTCTAGCTCCAAGCCAGGAAGAGAGCCCTCATCAGAACCTGACCACATTGGCACCCTACTCTGGGACTTTCAACCTCCAGACTGCGAGAAAATAAATTTCTGTTGTTTAAGCCACCCAGTCTGTGGTATTTTGTTATGGCAGCCAAGACGACTAAGAGAAAGAACAATCTAAATGAAAACTCAAGGAAGCCACCAAACAAATCCATGTGATATTCTGCAGGACAACTGGCTTGGACTTTTCAATAACTGTCATGAATATAGAGACTTTTCTAGAATAAAATATATTTAATGGACATAAAAATCAGATGCAGAAGATAGCCTTGGGTTGGATCCTGGTATAGACGTACCAGGAGTAAAAGAAATTTGGTGGCCGACTGGGAAAATCTGAAGATCAATTGTTACATGAAATGAAGAGTTAGTGACATAAAAAGTAAAGATTATTAAATGAAAAAAGCAAGTTACCAGAGAGTATGTACAGTGTGATCTCATTTTGGTTAAAAGATACATATATCTTTAGATTTGTATAGAAAATATTCTCAAAGAATATATACCTAGGTGTTCATGGCCATAATCACTGAGTGGTAAGTATATGGGAGGGAGGGTGAGGGGGTGTGTGTGTGTGTGTGTGTGTGTGTGTTTGCTCATCTACATTTTCCTATTTTCCACAGTATATATGCCATTTTTGTGATAATAAAGCATTACTTTAATTTTTTAAAATGGAAAAACCAGTGGCAGTAAAGGTAAGAACAAATAGACACATTTATTTACTTCTGGTAAAACAGTAGGTACAGTTGGCAAGCAGAGGTTGGCAAACTATTGAAACATAGTCACACCCATTCATTTCCTTATTGCCTATGGCTGCTTATGCACTACGTCAGAGTTGAGTAGTTCCAACAGAGATCTTATAGCCCACAACCCGAAAATACTTACTATCTAGCCCTTTAAGAAAAATTCGCCAACCCAATTATTCTTCAGAATAATTTTGCAATATATATCAAAAATCGTAAACACATGCATACCTTTAACCCAACAAACCCAATTTTATTGTAAGGAAATAGCATGGATACACACAAAACTTTACCTATAAGGAGAGATACTATAATACTATTTATAATGAAAATTTGTAAACAAACTAAACAGGCAACATCAGGAAATTAGTTAAGAAAATAGTCGCATGAGTACATAGATTTATACACACACGTGTGGTACGTCCACATAATGGAATACCACGCAGCCATTAAAAGCCATAATGAATTAAAAATATTTAATGATCTAAAATTTCCTGACATTAGTGCAAAAGGAAATTTCAAAATGACATGAAGCATGTAATTCCATTGTATAAAAAGGTAATTATATATGCTTATACACACTTATAAAAAAACTCAAATGTCAAAATATCAACAGGATGGCAGTAGGTGGATATGATGTTCAGAGTTCTTTTCTTTTTTAATTAAAATGTAAATGTTCTTTTTTCTGATAATAGATGATTGTTGCAAAATTTTCAAATAATAGAGAGAAAGCATAAGTACCCCCACACAAAACCACCCCACAAAGAGATGGTCACTGTTAACAGCCTGGTACATAATCTTCTAGGTGTTTTTGTGTTTTACTAAGAGTGCAATCTTTAAAAAACCCAAATGGGCTCATATAGTATACTGTTCTATAGGTTATTTTGATGATTTTCAATGAAAATGCATGAGAGCTACCTTATTCTTTAACAAGTACATATTATTCCATTCCATGGACTATTTTATTTAACCAAATTCCTATTGTTAAATATTTAAGTTGTTCCCAAATTTTTCATATTATAAACAATGCTGTTAAGAGTGTTCTTGTACATTTATTAAATACTTTTCCTACATTAAGTACTATAACTATTGTTAATCTATCCTAACTATCCTTAGGATAAATTCCTAGAAAAAAGACTTCCGAGATCAAAGGTGATGCACATTCTTAATTCTGATCCAGACATCCTTCAGAAAAACTCTTTAATCAATTTAGACTCCCATCAACCTATGAGCTTCCCATACTGTCCCTGAGTAATTTATATCACATTTACATTTGTATTTTTTATTATGGTGTATTTTGCCATGATGAAAATTTAAATCTTTATTTGGTCAAGTCAATCTTTTATGGTTCCTGATTTTATGTCACGCTTAAAAAGGTTTCTGAAATGGACATCATGTATCTACTGATATGATGCACTGAGAAAGACACAACATCACTTCTACGGTATTCTTGCCAAAGATGCAAAATCTGAATTTAATCATAAAGAAACATTACATAAGTCCACACTGAAAGATGTTCTACAAAATAACTGGCCAGTATTCTTCAAAAATGTCAAGGTCATAAAAGACAAAGAAAGACTGAGGGATTCTTCCAGATTAAAAGAGACTAAGGAAGGGCCAGCCCAGTGGCGTAGTGGTTGGATTTGCGTGCTCCGCTTCAGTGGCCTGGGGTTCACGGGTTTGGATCCTGGGCGCGGACCTACGCACCACTTATCAAGCCATGCTGTGGTGGCATCCCATATAAAGTAGAGGAAGATGGGCACAGATCTTAGCCCAGAGCCAGTCTTCCGCAGCAAAAAGAGGAGGATTGGCAACAGATGTTAGCTCAGGGCTAATCTTCCTCACACACACACACAAAAAAGACTAAGGAGACATGGCAACTAAGCGCAACACCCAGGATCCTGGATTGGATCCTGGACCAGTAAAAGGACATTGGTGGGAAAATTGGAGAAATTTGAGTAAAATCAATAGAGTAGTTAATAATATTGGATCGATGTTAGTTTCTTGATTTTAAAATTGTACTGTGATTCTATATGATGTTAACATTTGTGAATCTGAGTGGAGAAAATATGAAAACTCTTTGTAAAAATTCTGAAATTATTTCAAAGTGAAAATTTAAAAAATAAAAGTTTAAAAGCCTTTGTACTTTAGGACTATAAAAGATACTTTCTTATGTTTTTGCTAGTACTCTTTTAAAAATATTTTATTAAATCTATATGGAATTTACTTGCCTATAGTCTTCTTCTCTGAAACGAAGAGCCAATTTTCCCAAAACCATTTATTGAAGTCTTCATCTTTCCTCACTATTTTGAAAGAGACCTATGTATATATAGGAATTTAGTACATTTTGAATTCCCAGGTAAATGTCTGTGTGTGTATGTGTACACACAAGTGAGCACATGTATGCATATGCATACACGCACTCACACACACACAGTCTGTTTCAAAACCCTATGCTCCATTCCACTGATATATAAGTCTGTGCCATTATGAGACTATTTTAATTCCTTCAGTTTTTTAAGTTTTGATGACTGGAGAAGCAATTAACTCTTTAACATTCTTTTATATCTTCTAAAAAATATTTCAAGAGGAAAATCAAAAACAATATGTCAGGTTCCTAAAATTCCCCACCCCCTTCAGGATTTTGAATGGAATATAATTTTATGAAATCATTTTGGGTAAAAGTATCTCTTAAAATACTAAATCTTGGTTCTGCTTCCACTAATGGGGATCTGCTTCTAGTAATGGTAGGGTAGCTTATATTATATTAACTCTCCCATAGACAACAAATATAAACTCTGGAAAAAACACAAAATATACATTTAAAATATATTTGCAGGCACTGGAAAGTGAACAAAAACAAGTAGGCAGAAACTGGAGAAGAGTTGAACTTTGAAAGAAGGGAATAACTCTTGAAGGGACTTTATACTTATATTGCTAGTCACTTGAAATTACTCCCCAGTCCACTCCATGTGATATGCCTAGAACTTTACACAGAAAACCCATAGTCTTATCGGCCTGCAGAGTACAGAGTTCAAGACTGCCAGAGTGGCTGTGAGGTAATGGGGAAAATTTCAGATAGGGGAGAACCACATAGGAGGGAAACACCAAAATCTGTGTTAAAACTCCACTCCAATTCTTGGCTGACCCATGAACTATGTGAACACTGGGAAGATTCCAAAGAAAAGCAGGAGCAAGACAAGAAATAATGGAGACAAGATTTCAGATGCTACCTATCACTAGAGAGTAAGAGTTTGAAGTCTAAGTCTAGTCAAGTTAAATGCTTCCTAGAACAAAAATCAGCACTCTTCTAAGAAAAATAACAGAACCCAGAGTCTCTACAATGAATCAATATCTAGTATACGATTAAAAAATTATTGACATCAAAAGAAACAGAAAAATATGTTATACAGTCAAGAGAAAGAGCAGGTAATAGAAACCAACCCCAAGACAGCCCAGATGTTGAGATAATATCCAATCAAAAAAAAAAAATCTTTTTTTTTTAATGAACAGCACCTCGGTGACCTGCTGAACAAAATCAGGCTGATTAACATGTAATTTGAATCTCAGAAAGAGAGTAGTGAGAATGGAGCAGAAACTAATATTTCAAGAAGTAATGGCCACAAATTTTTCAAAGCCACACTTAACCACTTCATAGTCAAACAACTGCTAAGAACGAAAGATACAAAAGAGTCTTCAAAACAGCCAGAAGAAATGACACAATACAGACAGAGGAACAATAAAACAAATAACAGCGGAATTCTGATCAGAAACAATGGAGGCCATAATACAATGGCCTGATAGTTTTAAAAGGTTAAAAGCAGAAAAGAAAACAGAAAAAAGAAAACCTTGTAACTCAGAATATTATTCTGAGCAAAAATATCCTTCAAAAATGAAGGCAAAAATAAAGACATTTTCAGATAAATGAAAAAAGAGAATTGTTGAAACAGTGCAGACACATACTATGAGAAATGCTAAAAGAAATTGTTCAGTCTGAAAGTATACACAGAGGAATAAATGAAGAACACCAAAAACGGTAAATATATGGGTAAACAGAAAAGACTATAATATAAAACTGTTTAAAGCAAAAGTCCGATGCTGTATTGTAGGGTTTATAATATGCATAAGTGTATTATCATAAGAATAGTATAAAAGACAACAGGTAGTAAATGAAACTGTACTTTTAAAAACCTCTTATATTTTATGTGCAATAGTACAATACTAACTCTAAGTTGACTGTGATAAGTTAATAAGGATATTGTAATCACTAGAGCAACTACTAAGGAAAATTAAAGAGGGTTATAGCTAAGAAAATAATAGAAGGATTACACTGGAATATATATCTTTTAAATTTCATTAAAGCAAAAGAGGGCAGAAAAAAAGAGTGGATAATAAATAAGGCAAAGAGAAAAAGCAAAATGGTAATCCCAAGTGCCAACATATCAACTGTCATACTGAATAAAAAGCAAGACTCAACTATGCGCATCTACAAGAAATGCAATTTAAACATAAAAACAAAGATAGCTTTAACGTAAGAGAATATATGCCGTGCAAACACTAATGACAAAAAAGCATGAATAGTTATAGTAATACCAGGAAAAACAGATTTCAAGACAAGGAATATTATAAGGAGTTAAGTAGGGACATTTCATAACAATAAAATGGTTAATTCATTAGAAAGATAAAACAATTAAAACATATATGAGACGAATAACAGAAGTTCTAAATATACAAAGCAAACACTGACAGAACTAAAGGGAGAAATGGATGACTCCAGAATCAAAGTTGGAGATTTTTAACATTATGAGTAAATGAGAGAACAACTAGATAAAAATCAGGAAGGATATAGAAGAAGATATGAATAGCAGCCTGGTCCACCTTAACTGAGCATTTAAATCACTGCAGAAAAGTCTATCAGGCAGCGATGCTTTAGAGTCCGGATCAAAGACGTATTTGTCATTTTAAATTTATAAATTGTTTTCAGGAGAGAGAAACTAAGATTACCTAACCAGAAATTACACCAGTAGCTTTCTTTTCAGCTATTTTTCTCTTCAAATTGTATTTAAACTTAAATTCCGTTGTCCTATAGCATTGAACACATATTCAGTAAGCCAAACACCCAGTGTATTTTTACCAACACCAAATACAAAAAACCTAGTCATATGTAATGAGAATTGCGAAGTACAAAGTTGTAATAGTACAAGAATCATTTAAAAACCACAGGAAGGTGGTCAAAAAGGTACAAACTTCCAGTTATAAGATAAAAAAAACATATCTTAGTTCTTAACTTACTTATATATTTGGTAACTTGTTCTAATTTTCAGTCCACCTTTGATGAAGTTGATCATATTTTCATCCTGAAAATAATTCAATTGAATAATTAGATCACTTAGCAAAAGATTCTTCAACTGTCCTCACAGTTGTGTATTTGTATGATTAGAACAAAACAGTATCTTTTTGAGGACATAATTTTTAAATTAGAACATTCTTCTTGCTTTATGTTTGAAATGCTTTTTTGAAATTTTCATTCCAAGTTCGATGACAACAACAAAAAAAACATTTTTAAAAAATCCTTGCCTTACTTAGGGGCCATAGAGGTTAGTCCAAATCTACTTTAATAAACATCATCATCTACTGACAATTTTCTTCTGGGTTCAATGGAATTCAAAATGGCTGACTTTAAGGAGAAGTCTAAGGCCAAACTTTCCCAACCATCATACTCCAGTAAACGGGATTACGGTTCTTCTTTGGCAGGGTACTTTAGCATGCAGAGTCTATTTAACATTGTGAATTTCATTCATAATTATTTCCAGACCAAAAGTAACTGATCAGGATTCTAAACTCATTGTCAGTAATATGAAATTTTGTTTTGGGGAAAAAAATCACTTTACTTCTCTTTGGCTGATGGTCATCAACCATAAAATTAAGGCATTTGGCCTAGATGAATGCCATTTTCAGGGTCAGCATTCTAGGATTCCAAGAGAATTTCTTAATAAATTATATCAAATAACTGCTCCAAAGAAGTTAATCTAACAGATGGTGCTAATGGAGATGGCCCCATGTTTCGCATTTCCAAGGAGAATGTTTTTCTAGTCTATTGATATCGGAAAGATGCTCCGGTATTTATTTCCTATGCACTCAAGCATCCTTCTGAAGCAAAAGTAAAACTGATTTTAGTTTGCTGATTTCATTAATTACTTAAATATTTAGCATTTAAATTATTATAAGAATCAACAGATACAAAATTCACCATACAACTTAAATGTTTATCTTCTTATTTTAAGGAATCTTATGATTACACAAGTTCCAATACCGGCCAGGAAAGAAGCGCTTAAATTAAATTAAAATCTGCCTCAAATAAGAATATTTCATTTCTTGATTGACCAGACATTTACTAAATGCCTATTTTACACCAGGCACCTGAATGCTAAATCAGACAAAAGCAATACAATGTGCTAAGGGACAGACGCATGCACACAAGCGGGGACATGCGCAGGATGTCACGACAGCACAAAGAGGGGTGGCATGGGGAGACCCACAAGAGCCTCCCACAAGCATCAGCGCTTAAAACACAAAAAATGATTAGGAAGTGGCCAGGTGAAGGAAGGCAAAGCAGATGTGAACTTTGCAAGGAAAGAAACACTCGGAGGGAAAGACAAGGAAGCATTAAAGATCATGGTATGCTTGGCCATCTGTGCATAAGGAACTCAGCACTGCTACAAAATCTACTGCAAAGAAGGAAATGACCAAGGAGTAAGAAAGTACCTCTACCCATGCCACTCAAGGATGCAACATACCTGCTTCTGAGGACATCAGTAAGAGGGGAGTAGGGAATTTGGGGGGAGATAGCAGTTTAGTTTGAAAAAGCCTCCCCCATTTCTGATATTCTGATACAGCACCACTGCCATAGTCAATGAGAGCTACTAAATGCTGAAGCAGAGACATGGCAAGGTGAGATTCTCATCTTACAGACGGTGCTCAGTTGCACAGTGGGGAATGAGCTGGAGGTAAGAGAAATCAGAGACAGAGGGAGACTAGGTTGCTGTGCAGTCTAGGGAAGAGCTGATGAGCACCTGCACTAGAACAATCATAGTCAGAATAAAGAGGGAGCGATGGAGCTGCTAATCTCCAAAAGGTAAAAGAAGCATGACCACGAAAGTGATTGGATGTGGGGGCATGAGCAAGAGGGAAGAGGCACGGATATCTCCCAGAGGTTTAATCACAAGTCCCCAAACGTAAAATAAGTCTTCAAATCCCAGATTTAATAGTCAAATCCCCATTTGGAAAACGTGTCAGAAAAAATAGGGGACCCCCGTGACTAGCATTATGTTTACGGAGGCAGCAAGACTGTTGTTTTCAACCAGCCTTCATAATATGTAGGGTTTTAGGAAACAGGGTTATAGACCAGATTGATTCCATTTTACTAAACCAGCATCCAACCTAAGAGGTCAACCTCCAGAAAAAGAGAAAAACAACTCTCAATACAATGTAAAACATTGAGGCTGAGGAAGATGTTCCATTTTACAGTTGTGTTTCTGTCCCCTTACAATCGCCACCCCAGCTCTCCCCCACTATAACCATCACCGCCGCCCATGCGGCCATGATGTTTTTTAGAAGCATTGGAAGATACCATGATAGGCAAGGTACTGGTTGTAACAGTTCCTAGAGGTGAAATTAAAATGCCCCATAAGAAAAGGATTCATTGTTTTGTTTAGTGACTTCTTAAAACTGCTCTTCCAAAGGAAGAAATAAAAAGAAGAAAGGAGGATGAGAATAAAAAAAGGGGAAAAATAAAATCTCAAGTATTTATGAAAAGTTTGGCTCTCTGTGCATGCATAACTGAGCTTTGCTGAAGCATCTGGTGCAAGAAGGGATGGCCAAAGGTTAAGGAAGCCTCTTCTGCCCAGGCCACTGCTGTGTGCAACCCTCTACCATTAGCAAGCGCAAAGAGGGTTAATCTCACAGTTTTCATACAGAGAAGCCTCCTGAAATTAGGAGCGGCAGTTGTAAGACAGTTTCTTTCAAAGGCAGTGGTTCCCAGGGGACTCAACTTTGAAACAGACTCTTAAGTGCATTTGAGTAGGACTAAAGCTCCCTGGGGTCTTTTTTCAGCCAAAGTTTATCAGAATATCAAACATCTTTCATTACAACTCTAAGTCAAAAGAGCTGAAGCACTGACACAGAATGAGCTACATTTTTCTATATAGTTCTGGCAGGCTTCCCCGGCAATACCGACTCTAAGCCAAACTTTCATTACCTGCACAAACGTGAGTGCGGCTTTCTGTAGGAGACACTCGGCATAACAGATTTCAGCATGCATCTCCTCTATTAAAAACAAATAAAATTATATTAAGGAAAATCCCATATCCACAGTCATTGCTCTGAGGTGTTCAGAAAAGACTGATAGATAAATGAGCCTAAGAGAGACACAAAAACCTAGATTGCTTTGCTGCTTCCATAAAAGTGGAATGATGACCTCAGTTCTCAGGCCCACAGCAAGATTTTCCCAGAATGCACAAAATCATTCAGGGAAGTCATCTTTGGCCCCATTCAAATATAACTGCTTTAAAGAGTCAGGCACTTGGTGTCAGAGACCCAAACTCAGCTCACAAGAGAAATCAAACTTTAAAAGCAGTTTAGGGCTGACCCCGTGGCTTAGCGGTTAAGTGCGCGTGCTCCGCTGCTGGCGGCCCTGGTTCGGATCCCAGGCGCGCACCAACGCACGGCTTCTCCGGCCATGCTGAGGCCACGTCCCACATACAGCAACTAGAAGGATGTGCAACTGTGACATACAACTATCTACTGGGGCTTTGGGGGAAAATAAATAAATAAATAAATAAATAAAATTAAAAAAAGAAAATAATTGTTTAAAAAAAAATAAAAGCAGTTTAAAAAAAAAAGGAAACCACTTATCTTTTTGTTTTTGTGAGGAAGATCAGCCCTGAGCTAACATCCATGCTAATCCTCCTCTTTTTGCTGAGGAAGACCGGCCCGGAGCTAACATCTATTGCCAATCCTCCTCCTTTTTTTTTCCCCAAAGCCCCAGTAGATAGTTGTATGTCATAGTTGCACATCCTTCTAGTTGCTGTATGTGGGATGCGGCCTCAGCATGGTCGGAGAAGCAGTGTGTCGGTGCACGCCCGGGATCCAAACCCGGGCTGCCAGTAGCGGGGCGTGCACACTTAACCGCTAAGCCATGGGGCGGGCCCAGGAAACCACTTATCTTTTAACTTAACAGTAACATGTAAGTTTAATACAGTTATAAAAGATTAAAAAAACTAATTTAAATTTATGAATTCTAGCTTCTCAAATATGAAGGTACGATCATCATGACAATGATTATTAATAATTACACAATCATTAATAATTACATTATTAACTTAAAAAAAAAGCAGCAATTCTCTAAAGTTCTATGAACAAGAACTGCTCTGCACGCCCAAGGCATGCAAAGAAGATGATGTCAAAAGAGTGGGCACCACCAGTTTTTGGCTATTTGGATCACTGAGATAGCTAGCACAGGAACAAGGCACTCACAAAGGGGCTACGTAAAGCTCTGTATATCCCAGGGACATGTGGCATGCCCCGAAACACATGGCCTGGCCTCCTAAACAACCGATTACACTTTTGCAGATTTAGGGGTAGGGAGATGGCTTTGCATCTTTGCATAAACAAAATCAGCAGCTTACTGTTTCATCCATGGGATGCAAATTGGCATTTCATTTAAGTGAATGAGCTTGCGGTATTTAACAGCCTAGACTGGAGGAAAGGCTCTGCCGTGTACTAGCTGTAGGACCTTGAGCAAGCTCTCTCTGCTGGTTTCCTCATTTATAAAGTCTGGTTAATGACATCTCTACTTCACAGCTGAAGAATCAGATGAGGTGCTCCATGCAGAGCTCACTATGCAGAGTAAGCACTCGATATATGTCAGCTACTTGAACATGTCCTTGGCCCATGTCACGCTTTTTGGTAAAAGCTCAGACAGCAGAACACTTTTATGTGAAATAAATAACTGAAAAATCGGGCATTTCTGGGAATGAAAAAGTAACTGAAAAATAGGATATTATGGGAATGCTATTGAAACAAACTGGATAAGAACTAGTGCTTTCTATCTTTTACTTACACACACAGACCATCCCAGCCGACACACACACACACACACACACACACACACACACACGCTACTGGTTCTCACAAATTGGTTCAACTTCCTGCCGTGCTTATATTCCAAAGGTTGAACTTAACAAAGAAGCAACTATGCAGCTACGATTTCCCAACAGCATCCATAAGATGGGGCCAAACCCACAAGAGGCCAAACTTGAGGAGTTACGGCCTGTGCACATTCTGGCAGCCTCAACAGCCAGGGTCTCAGGCCTTCAAAACACCTCACCTCAAAGCGTGCCTCTGGATTTTCTCAGTGTGTGCAGTAGGACAAAAGGTAAGTAACTTTAAGGTAACTTATTTTTACAGAGTCACCTGAATATCCTCTTCCTAGGTAAATTTGAAACAAAGTGGGAACTGTTAGGAATTGTTCACTTTGAAAACCTGCTCAGTAGTAACACAGATTGCCTGCTTGGGGCATTGCCGTGCTGCGGGGGTGAAGCGATGCTGGGAAAGGACCAGCCCGAGCAGAGGCACAGAGCAAGGGGAGTACAGAGTACCTGTGGGGCGAAGCCAGTGTGCGCCTTTGGCCGAAGCACAGAGTGTGTAAGGGAGGGGTGGGAGGAGTCTGGAAAGGTAAGCTGGGGCTAAATTGTGGACAGCCTTGAATGTCAGAGTCTGGGCTTGATTTGGTAGGGAACAGTGAGTCCTTGCTGAGATCTGAGCAGAAGGGTAGACGGATCAGGGTTAAGTTAAAGATGGGCAAATCTAAAAGGAGCTAAAGGACATAACAAGAAGGCAGAGACCAAAGGCAAGAAAATGTGAACTCTATATGCCTTATGCAAGTAGTCCTCTCGCATCTTAAGCACTGCATATAAATATCAGTTTTTAAAGGCAATCGGAAAGCCATTCAGGGCAATATGCCAGCCACAAGAGAAGACCGGGCGTGTTCCGTGTTAAACCCATGAAAAGTTTAATTAAATACACTCACTCCCGCAGACAACCAGCCACTCAAGGATGGAAACGAAAATTACAAAGAGGAAAACAAATCACATACTAAAGCTACAATGTTTTGACGTGCTCCCTTGAACACAAAGTCTGTTTGGGTTGCAGTGACAGCCAAACTCATTAGGAATAAAACGCAACTTAATTTATAAAAGTCTTATTTCTTCCGTCTGGTTGATTTATACTGGGCAGTTCCTTAGTTCTCAAAATTAGTCATTTGGCATTTTTGAGTAGGTACCTATCAGAACACCTCCTAATTATAAATTCTTTAGTCTACTGAAGGAAATATCTTCATGATGCACAGAAATGTTAGCTAAGCATGCCTTTAAATATAAAAGTTTAAATAAACCTGTATTTCAGAACAGGCTATAGTCCCAAGCAAATTTATTTTTATTATTTTTTAATTAAGACTTTATTTTTTTTAGAGCAGTTTTAGGTTCACAGCAAAATTGAGGGGAAGGTACAGAGATTTCCCATATATCCCCTGTCCCCACACATGCATAACCTCTCCCATTATCAACACCCTCCTCCAGAGTGGTACATTTGTTACAACTGATGAATCTCCATTGACACATCATAATCACCCAAAGTCCATAGTTTACATCAGGGTTCACTCTTGGTGTTGTACATTCTATGGGTTTGGACAAATGTATAATGACATGTATCCCTCATTATGATATCATACAGAGTATTTTCACTGCCCTAAAAATCCTCTGTGATCTGCCTATTCACTTTTCCACCCTATCCCCTGGCAACCACTGATCTTTTTACTGCCTCCATAGTTCTGCCTTTTCCACAATATCATATACTTGGAATCATACAGTAGGTGGCCTTTTCAGATTGGTATCTTTCACTTGGTAATACGCATTTAAGGTTCCTCCACGTCTTTTCATGGCTTGACAGCTCATTTCTTTTTAGTGCTGAATAACATTCCATTGTTTGGATGTACCACAGTTTATTTATCCATTCACCTATTGAAGGACATCTTGGTTGCTTACAAGTTTTGGCAATTATGAATAAAGCTGCTATAAACATTCATATGCAGGTTTTCATGTGAACATCAGTTTTTAGCTCCTTTGGGTAAATATTAAGGAGAGAGATTGCTGGATTGTATGGCAAGAGTATGTTTAGATTTGTAAGAAACTGCCAAACTATCTCCCAAAGTGGCTGTACCATTTTGTATCCCCACCAGCCATCAATGCGAGTTCCTGCTGCTCCAAATCCTCACCAGGATTTAGTGTTGTCAGTGTTCTGGATTTTGGACATTCTAATAGGTGTGTAGTGGTATCTCATTGTTGTTTACGTTGTGAACAAACTTTTGGGACCTTTCTCCCTGGTCTAACAGGCGAATCTAGCGAGCGAGCTGCATGGGCTTAAAGTCAGTACAAAAATGCCTGCTGTACTGTGAAGCAGCCATGCCAGCCTCGGAAGCCTGTGTTAGAATGACTTCACAACCCCACACCTCATGCCGAAGACACCAGCTGGACAGACCCACAACAGGAAAAGATAAAGGGTACCTCACTCTCACATTTCAAGATTGAGAGAAAAAGTAACCACAACGGTCCTTGTCTCCCTCCCACACATAAATAACACCAACATTCCAAGTCTTATTTGACGCAAAAACAAAAAGCTCTTGTTTATGTTATCTTTAAAGTATATGACTATTAAATGTGTAAGCCCTTTCCTGCATGTCCACTGCTTTGTTAAAAAAAAGTATATAAGCTGCGCTCAGATCTGTAGACTTTGGAGCAGTGCCTCAGAATACTCTGTGGGACTGCTTCCCGGGACTCGAGTTCCTCACTTTGATTATTGAACAAACTCCTTCATTTAACCTTTACCTAGACTCTTTATTTCAGTCGACAAAATTATTGTTTAATACTTAGTCAAAACTAATTTTCTACCTATTCCAGATTTCCTAAGTGCCATGTCCAAAGACATAATAAAAAGATAAGAACACAGTACCATCTGTCTTCGAGATGTCTAACATGTGAACAATTCAACATTTCCCTCATCCACAGATGACACATGTTGTGCCCTTTTCCACATGTCTACAGGAGAAAGTTTGGGGTACAGTGGAAAGAACTATGGCATAGGGAAAGGCAGATCAGGTGTGACTCCTGCTCTGCTAGGCAGGTAATCTTGGGCCATTTGTTTAATCTCTCTGAACATCAGTTCCTACTCTATAAAAAGGAAGTTGCACAAATTAGACTGGATAATGTTGAAGAAAGCACCAAGGACAGGGTCTGACACATAAGAGAATGCTTTTAAAAAATGGTGCATTATCATTATTATTTTTTTAATTATTATTATTATTCATACTTACACCAAAAATACCACGTAATTCCTCTTAAAACTAAGGTAAAAAAAATCTCAAATGTCAGTCTTCATATTGCAAAGAAAAAGGGAGGCAGGGGGCAATGGGCCACTGGAGAGAAGCCATATAGAGGAAACAGGAGAATAGAAGTGAAGGAGACAAATTTCTTTGGGGCCCATTTTATTTCCCATTGACCTACTTTGGTGGACTTTAGTCCTACTGGGGCCAATTTACAAGATGGAAAATATGACAACATATTCTATCTAAAATCAAGGGGATAAATAAATTCTGACGGGTTCTTGGAGGTCAGTTTCTGGAGAAAAAGTAATGGCTTCAGCTGCCTGGAGAGACCAATGAAACACCATTCTGTTCTACAATGGTTGTAGGGCCAACATCATAACCTTTTGGAATAAGTCCCTTAATCCTCTCCTGTTATTAACACTCTAGTCTCACATCATGCAAATGTTCCCAAGTTCTCCAATGTCCATAACAATTAGTAATAATACTCTTCTAACAAAATAAATAAAACTTTATAATGAAACACTTTCAAAAACGTGTCTGACATACACTTGACCACTAGGAATGACCCTGACAGCAGTATCCAGAATTGCTCACGCCTTAATCAACCATAGCTACTTCTAGTATTTGGCTTTTCCTCTTCCAGAGAACAAGTCTGTCCATGACAGCACAGGCACAAATCCTCCTTGGATGGCAGAAGCTTTTTTCTACAATGGCCACATTTGAAAACATTATTTTCTCTTCTGCGGAGTATCTGGATGTTCCTTTCTTATAAACCATTCTGACTAGAGTGTACTATTATAAAACAGAACCGATAATGGAACTTCTGCCCTAATTTCAGTGGGAACATCAAGCAATTGACAACAAAAGGAGGCATTTCCTCCCATGCATCTGATCAAGGTGCTGTAGCCATTCTCGGATTCCTGAATATTCTTAAATGTCCACAAACCAAAACATCTTCCATACTGTGAAACATTATCATTTTTGTAAGGTATCAAAATTACTTTTACCTTGGAAAGAAAGTCAAGCTTGTGGAAAAATCGAAACTCTCAAACATGGATGGTAAGAATACAAACTGACCCAACTCCTGGAGAAAAAACTGGCAGTACCTACAAATATTTTCAATTTTCAAACCCTCAGTCCCAGTAATTCCACCTTTAGGAATCTATCCTCTGAAATACTTGCAAAAATGCCTGAAGACAAATGTACAGGATTTTAGGATAGCATTATTTGTAATAGTGAAAAAAAAACCAATGTAACTGCCCTTCAATAAAGAAAAAGTACGTAATTTATGGTACCCCATTCTATGGAATACTACACAGCTATTAAACAGAATGAAGCACAATTTATAGGTATTGACATGGAAAAATGTCAGTGTCAAAAAATCAGAGTAGAACAATATATATCGTGTAATTCTACGCTTGCAAAAAATGAACAGTACATGAAAAACTACAAAAACCTTATGTGTACCTCGTGTATATATTTGTATATGTGCACAGAAAAGTATGCAAGAACTTGAAACTAACTATTAACAGTGATTACTTCTGAATGGTGAATATGATGGAGAAGAGAAAAAGACATTGATTTACTCTATATTATATACACTTAAGTATTGAATTTTATGAGCATGATCACATTTTAATTTTTGAAAAAAAGGAAAAAATTAATCTTTTAAATGACTCTTACCTTCAGTCAGCTGTTCGAATGATCCTCTAGAAAGAAGACTTGAGAACGATTCTATAACCGTGCTTTTTTTCCTGTATCTACAGGAGTAAGAGAATAAGTAGCAGGGGAAATGGGAAATAGAAAGAAAAAAGTAACAATAAATCAGGCTGTGCTCATTTTCATTCGACATTCATTTCAGTCACATCACACCAAAGAGTCACTGAGGAGGAACTCGAAACCCTAAAGTCTCTAGGGCAGAGACCACCCGTTTCAATACTGCACACCCAGCACTGGGCTGACATTCTGTGGGCACCATGCTTACTGAACACATGAGTGGACAACCCCACACAAAACAGTGATTACTAACCCTGCTGAGCACCTTCCCTGATCTCTGTGGCTAAAATCAATATTCTGTGGTAAAAGTCACCACAGGTTAAGAAAAGAGTTAGAGGGGCCAGCCCGGTGGCATAGTGGTTAAGTTCACACACTCCTCTTCGGCGGCCCGGGGTTCACAGGTTCAGATCCCAGGCGCAGACTGACGCACCGCTTTGTCAAGCCATGCTGTAGCAGCATCCCACATACAAAATAGAGGAAGATGGGCATGGATGTTATCCTGGGGTTAATCTTCCTCAGCAAAAAGAGGAGGATTGGCAACGTATGTTAGCTCAGGGCTGATCTTCCTCACAAAAAAAAAAGAATACAATATTTGGAAACTCTCTTCATTTGCAGGGCTTGCGACAAAATCGCATAAGGATGTAATTTTATCAATGTTAAAATTCACCAATGCTAATTAATAGCTTTTGCTAGGGTCTTCCTATAGAGAGAGGAAAGATTAAAATAAAACTAAAAATCCATCTCATTTTCACCACCAAAAGTATTCAAATATGTCCCTTTTTAGACAAATAAAATATTCCCTTCTGTATTTGCAGTATCTCCCACATAAAAGAACGTGTCTTGCTTGGCCTGGACTGGCCTGCAGTTCCTAAACTCATCCACCACAGGAAGACCCTTGAGAGGTGCTTGCTGCTAACCCCACTGAAATCGCCCTCAGCCCTTCTCTGTAGCTCAAGTTACCAAACAGAAGGAATCGATGCCAAGTGTTTGGTCAAACGAGAATCACACTATACGTCCTAAGAGGAATATTTTTATCTCTATTACATAAAACTATATGAGGCCAGGAAGCTTTGACGCTCAAGTTAAAAGTCCTTTCTAGAGACAAAAGTCACAGTTCTTTCTAGAACCGTGGCCAACTTCAAACACAGAGCTCTCAGGGAGGCGAACTACATTCATTCTGTCACACAGACATAAAGGTTTGTAGTCATATCTCCCGTATTTAATTACTCAGTTCATACTTTTGGCAGGTTTGTAAGGCGTCCTTCATGGCAGAAATGCCATTTTGGATGTCCTGTTGCTCGAAGGTCATGACGGCCTGCAACACCACAATGGTACTGTAGCCCAAGGCATGGTACATACTCTCCTTAGCCCTGAGGACAATACAGGGAATTAGTACGTTTCAATTCAACTGAAAAGCATTCAGGTCTTGTCCGATACGTAATCACAAGAAATCCCAGTAAATGCGTGTCAGGACTTTCACAATAATAACCCTTACTCCTTCACCATAATCACTGAAATAATACAGACTGTGAAAGACATGACCTAAAAACCTCAACATCAAGGACTTTCTAATTTAAGTTCACACGGGCAGCACAAAATGTTTCGAGTTCAAGCATAAAGCGACACTATGCTTTTCCCTCTTTCAGCACAAGGGGGCAGCCTGCGGATTCATTTCCAAAAACCCATTTCAAAGCAAACCAATTTTTCCCATTTGAACAAGGGGCAGTGTACTGTCTTTAGCTCTGAAATAAGTGCTCAAATAAAGGCCATTGGAAATGCATTTTGTGATGGAGAGATTCTGATACGTTTTTTGGAACGATAAAGACTCACTTAAATCATCCCTCTCCTCTCCCAGCCAGAGGCCAAGAGGAAGCAAGATTTTTGCAATAAGTTAGGTCGGTCCCAAAGGGCCCTGACAAAAGTACATTTTAGTATTTAATCCCATTATCTGAGATTCCTGATTAAAGTTCTTGATAACTCAAATTATCAAGTTATCAGTGAGAATGGCTTCGATTTTTAAGGACATTAATTAGTCCTAATGCATGGGACATCCCAGATTCTCAGGCTGTGAAAACCTTACCATTTCTTTTCTCAAAACTTCTCAAGCTATGTTAATCAGTTATTCATAAGATTTGAAATATTAATGCACGGTTTTGTTTTTAATTCAAATATAATGCACAATAGCCTGCTGCTATGCAAAACAAATGCAAGCCACATTATGCTTTTCCCCCATGGAACTAGCCTAAACCTCCTTTGGTAATTTGCAGTTTGTTCTGAACAGTGAGAGCACTGGCTGCTCAAAAAAACCACAAGGAATAAGAGCAGCCCAAAGTTAATCATTAATTGTGGTTTTAAACCTCACATTTTTTCAAATGAAAGCTCCTTTAAGAGGGAAAAAAGTACTCAAGTGGGAAAAACCATGTTTAACAGTGAAAGATGCATAAAGGTCAGAGAATATAAAATGACTAAATACAATACTAAATCATTTATTTTCATTCCATATTATGTCCAGCTGGGTGTCAGTGGCAAAGAAAACAAGGAGATTTGTTTGAATAAAAAACCAAGAAACAGACAGGCAGGCTGAGAGAGGAGAGACAAAGAAAGAAAGGCAGATAGAGAGGAAGACAGAGGGAGTAGTGACAGAAGATGGCGAGACAAGGAAGTCTGAGAGATTGTGAAGGACAGAGGAAAAAAGGCAGGAGACAGGCAAGGTAGAGATTGTGAGAACTGTTGGAAACAACACTGGACAATTTCTTCCGTCGATGGGCTTCACCATCTACTTTATCATCTGTTCTTAACTCTGAAATGCTAACTGATCACCACTCTTCAAAATCTTAACAGAATTACCACAGCAGCTCCTTAGTAATTTAATTTCTAAAATTCAAAGCCAATGACCTGAGTCATGTCATCCTACTGACCACTCAAAGGAATGAGATTCCCACTTTTGTGCCTAAGGAACCTTCTAGAAAATTATTATAAGAGGTCTAAGCTTCATCAAAATAAGTGACTATGTTTGAAGGCGCAATGTAAGATTATTCTTGTCAAGCAACAGTCACACTGTAGAGTTGAGGACTGAGGTCAAAGTGAGGCCCAGGGAGAAGGCTGGGCACAGGTTTTGCTGCCACATTTTAAAATTTAACAGGTACTATTAATTGAAATTAAATTGCTTAACTTGTTTATCACATAAATAGGGAGTCCCAACAATATTTTTATTATCTTAAATTTCTTTTTCACCCTCTAAGATGAGCATATTCTCATCCCCATTTCAAAGGAAATTTTTCTCAATGATATTTAAGCTTTAAGAAGAATATCCGTAAATATATTTCACTGAAGAAAGCACAATGAAGCTCTACAAAACTACACAAGATGATACTATTTGAATAAGTATAAAAATTAAAATATGAGAATCAGAAATTTTCTGAATAAAGTTGAAAAGATAGATTTCTTAACTGGATATTAAAACTAACCAACAGTAAGGGGTCTCAACCAAATTAGCTTATAAACATTCAGGTGGAAATGCAGCTAAATTAACCAACAAGCATGACATCAAAGACAGAATCATCAAAAACATCTGAAAAAAAGACACTATCTAAAAGAAATAAAGTTAATTACCATGGTCGAAGCAATTCTAAGGCATCTGTAAATTTGTTATTTAGAAACAAGTCCAATGCCACTGCACATTCTTCTAGGCCACTCTTGAGATCCACCTTGGCTGATGGTGACCTGAAAATCAAGAAAAAAATACATAGAATTTCTAAAGCTTTACCATTTAGCAAGTTGTCACAGGGAGAGCATGTGTGTATATGTGTGTGTGTGTTCGTACTTGGAGACAGAAAGATAGGCTGGAATTCTGCCATTTACTACCTGTGTCTTGAAGCTCCAGGAGCCTGACTTGCTTATCTGTAAAATGGGACCACCACCACCTACTTTATGGAGCTACTGTGACGATGGAATCAATTGACAAGTAATGCTCATAGTGTTACCGCCCAAAAAGGGGGTTCGTCTGCTCGCCACAAGACATGCCAATAGCCAAGAGGCAAGGTGGTAGGAGAAAAAGGACTTGTTTATTACAGCTTGCTAGCAAGAGGGAAGATGGCCAACTAACGTCCGAAAAAAAAAACATCTGAAGGGGCACAAAGCCTTACAGCAGTTATATAGGCTGGTGGGTTATAGGAGAGGAGGTTAGGAATGTTGACTTTCTGGTGTTACAGACTGGGAGTGCCACACCAGATCTTTCAGTTTTCATTGATGATGGCTATTAGCATAGATTCTCTGTTCCAGGGTCATCACATTCCTAAGGAACTCAAAAGATCAACGTTATCATCTTATCACAGCTGGGAGGTCAGGCACAAGCAGGGGTCTTAAAATCAACATAGCAGTTAGATCTCCTGGAGGGTGCATATCCAGCTGGGTTAGTTTGTCAGAGGTCATTCAAAGTTATGACATGGTTTCTTTTCTACAATGGCTTCCTTGGTGTCAACCTTGTCTTGAGCCAGTATCAATAGCACTAAATAAACGATAGTTCCTCCCACCTCACTCCAAAGACCATAGGTGTGGCAACTACCCATATTCATGGGGGAGGTGGAAGTTATTTTGTTTTAGTTTGATTACGTAGGGGAAAAAATGTGCTTCAGTGGAAAATCGCATTGTCTGGAATCTAGAGGAGATTCCTTCAGGTTATTTGCTTTTGATTCTATGGGAACTGTCTTACAACCCTGTAAATTGTCAGTAACTGATAGCAATGCAAAGTAATTGTCATCTGTAGACATGTAAATTCTGTCCTGGCCAGTAGAGGTTCCCTTCACTGTGGAAGAAGCTAGTTTTGCCTGAATTTGCATATTCATTTAAACATTCCTTTACTCCACATAAATTTGTGCTGTTTTGATTTCTGCCTAGTTCCCTCATTGATTAATGAGTTAAGTAAAATCTTTAACATGTGTTCATCTTTATATCTATATGAGTCATGATTTCACCCTTTTTTTGAAAATTATGTTAACTATTTATGATAGAAATTTTGCTCTTTAAACCTAGAGCCATCTCTAAAATGTTTTGTGTAACAACTTTTAACAGGAAAATATTTCAGTAAGTAAATGAGGAGTACAATAATTTATTTAAAGTACTTCAAGTTGAATTTTCATGCCACCAACCTCTCCAAATTCATTCTTTCAAGCATGAAAACAAAACCCACTTCAGTTACTTGTCCACCAGAAATGGGTTCTGAAGGTACTGCAGGGAACCACTCTGCCCCAGGTCTCATCATGGCTGGCTTTTTCCTGTTCTTCAGATCTCAGTCCAAAAATCACCAACTCAGAGCTGCCTCACTGACCCCCCTCTACTCTGTCTGAGGGTTTTGTCTGCTCTAATAACACTTATCACCATCCAAAGTATCTCATGCACATATTTGTGGTCATGCCTGTCTTTTCTTCCTTCTCTAGGACAGAAATACAAGGAGGTTGTTTTTGTCACTGTTGCGGCCCCAGTATCTTCCGTCTAGAACAGAGTACATACTCAATAAGCATGTTGAGTGAGTGGATGGGTGGGGGGGTAGGTAGAGCTGCTTCAGGTAGAAACAGAATTCCTCATGCCTAGAGTTTGAAGGCATCTCTCCTCCAGGTTGGTGCAGAATTAAGACAAGCTCCTGGTGGAGGGGTAGCTGGAGAGCTAAGCATTTGTGATGGTTGATTTTAATTTCAACTTGACTGGTCTAAGGGATGTCCAGATAGCTGGTTCAACATTATTTCTGGGTATATCTACGAGGGTATTTCTGGAAGAGATTAGCCTTTGAATTGGTGAACTGAGTAAAGCAGATGACCCTCCCCAATGTGAATGGGTACCATCCAATCCGTTGTGGGCCATAACAGAACAAAAAGGTAGAGGAAGGGTGAATTTGCATGCTCTCTCTGTTTGAGCTGGGACATCTATATTCCGCTCTCTTGTGCTCCTGATTCTTGGGCCTTCAGATGCAGACTGAATTGCACCACTGGCTTCCTGGTTCTTCAGCTTGCAGACAGCAGACTGTGGGACTTCTCAGCCTCCATAATCCCATGAGCCAATTCCCATGATGAACCTCCTTACATACACACAAACATACATACATACATCCTATTGGTTCTGTTTTTCTGGAGAACCCTGACTAACACAGAATTGCTTTGCCCTTAAGTTTCCAGTGAATGAAGAGGTCAAATAAGAATGCAAGGGGCCGGCCCATGGCTTAGCGGTTAAGTGCACGTGCCCCGCTACTGGCGGCCAGGGTTCAGATCCCGGGCGCACACCGACGCACCGCTTCTCTGGCGGTGCTGAGGCCGCGTCCCACATACAACAACTAGAAGGATGTGCAACTATGACATACAACTATCTACTGGGGCTTTAGGGACAAAAAAAAGGAGAAGGTTTGGCAATAGATGTTAGCTCAGAGCCGGTCTTCCTCAGCAAAAAGAGGAGGATTAGCACGGATGTTAGCTCAGGGCTGATCTTCCTCACAAAAAAAAAAAGAATGCAAGGAGTTCACAAACCTCTCACAGGAAGATTTTTCACAATAAAGTTCCTTGGTACCTCCCATATCAGTCCCTCACCAAATGTTGTCAGTGTTACTTCCTGAACATCTCTTGCATTTATCCTGTTTCATCTCCTCTACTCAGTCCAAGTTAGCCATCATTTGTTGCCTGTGTCTGCAGACTCATTTCTCCCTCTATTTCCTATCCTTCCCTCCCCCTAATCAAGTCTCTACGTAGAAGTGATTCATGGGATGAATACTTATGGAGCTCTGAGTACGTGCCAGGCAGCCTCCTAGGCGCTGGGAATACAGCAATGAGCAAGACACACAGGATTCTGGGCTCTCAAAGAGCTTTCATTCTCCTCCGGGAGAGGAGCAGACTTACAGAAGGAGACCAATAGCTGACTAAGATCATCTCAGATGGGGATAAGTAATCGGGAGAGAAGCTGGTTTGGAGGGATGGAGGTGAGGCCTGACATTAATGAGGATGGTCATGGAACGCTCTCCAAAAGGGTGACATCCAAGAGCTGCAAAATGGAGCCAGCCATGGGAATATCTAGGTTAGGAGGAGAGGGAGAGGTTCTAAGCTGGGAATGTGGTGAGCAAGGCGGAGAGTGGGAGAAAATGAGGAGAGAAAGCAGGCAGAATAGTGGCAGAGAGGATGGATTTTTATTCTGAGAACAAAAGGAAATATTTTGGCTCAGAAATCCCCACTCTCTTGCTTTTC